TAATTATAACCTATACTGTTACCATACATTTATGATCTAGTCTAGACTATACTAATACTAGTAATACTCACTAGTGGTAGTGGCATTGTTAGCTGCAACAATAGCATTGCAACTTGCAAGGAACACTTTAATTTTAGTTAGTTTTACTTATTATATATTATTAAACATGTATATATCATGTTAGTCCCTACTCAACAGTGTCGAGTCTGATTTCAGTAATACTGTTGAGTTTGTAATCATACATACATCTTGACTTAAGTCACACAGGGTGAAGATTGACAATGCTATTGATAAGTTAAGGAGGCCTAACAATAACATCCTTCGACTTCGCTTGGATTTGGTTATTTTTAAATTCTTACTTTGACGATGATCTCTCTTGGTTGCTGAATCCTACGGAAAAACCAGTTGAAGTCATTTCTGGATAAATAATAATATTTCTTAGTAGTTTCCAAAGCCTATCAATAACTTCAGTACGAAGCGTCAACAGTACATAGACAACAAACCAAAGAATAAACTTTTTACTAACTCTGTTTCAGAAGCCCGCCAGATAGTGAATAAAGAAAGCTTTATTTTCTCACCACTAGGGACAAAATAATATAGTTTAATTAAATTAAAAATAAACTACTATATCACTTGACTTAAAAATATGTCAATAAATTAAGATGAATTAGGAAGTAAAATTATGAATTATATTTATTTACTAAAAAAAGAACAACAATAATAATAACACATTGTGAATATATACGCATGCGCAATAAGAAGTTCTTTATTTAGTTCATCCAAACGTATCAAATATTCTAAAACAATTTCCAGTGGTTGAGAAAACAAAAAACACACAAAATAATTTATATATAAAAGTATAAAAAAGTTAACTTTCAAAATTTTATTTACCCTCCATTCCTGTGTTAATGAACAAAACTGTTATCTCAGGGGATGTTTGTTTGTTTCTTGTTAAGCGCAAAGATAAACAGTGGGCTATGTGTGTTGTGGCCACCGCGAATATTGAAATATAATCTTTAACATTATAGGCCCTTAGTCTTACACTGAGCCACCAGGGAGCCTCAGCGATCTTATAACAAAGAGTATGACAGCATAATGAAGACAGTAAAACAGCTCTAACTTACGACACAAATTAAAATAAAAATTCAATTCAATCAGTTTAATTGTCTGAGAAACATAATTATGCACATTTCGCTTGAAGCTGAATCCATATGTTCATTAAAGGCTAATCAACTATACCACTACTTCAGTTTAAAAAATCATTTTTTGTTAATTGCAAAAGTTCTCAAAAGACAAAGCCCACAACGCAAAGAACACTGAATAATACAGAGTTTCAAGTACCAAATGTTGTATGATCAGTTTATGACTTTATGAATGATTAAATATTGAATTATACCTTTATAATGTGGGCAGCAAATCTTAGTTTTAATTAAAAAATCGACGAATAATAGAACAAATATAAGAAGGTCTGAGAAAAAAATGAAGTTTCGATGTAGTAAAAACATTCAACTACATATATACATATTAGTCTTAAACAAGCCAAAAATAAACATTTCATTACTCACATTAGAGTGTATATATGACAGGATATATATTTTGCAATAGATTAGTTATGCTTATATAACGCTAAGTAATATCAATATAAAATTTGAATTTTTTATTTCCAGATTCAACGGCTAAAATAGAGATCAGAAAATTTATATTTTAAAAGAAACGTGGCCAATATGTAAGAAAACCTGTCATGTAACAGTATAGTGTATTGAACTTTAAATTCATTCCTTTTTCTTTACCTGTTTTATATCTTACAAGGTGGATAGAAACATAGCAACGGTAATGAAATCAACTGAATCTTTTATCGCAGTTCAATATGTGATTCTATTAAATACTTTTAGGTTGATTTCGTTATTAATCGTATTAAAAGTTACTATGTTGCACAAATATGTATCGGTTTTCAAACATTTTGTTGAAATTAGGTTTTATATAAGCAAAGCATGACTTTCTTTATCCACTTTTATAAACTATGTTTTCTGTTGTGAAATACAATAAAGCCTGGAACCAAAGTGGGCTGGAAAAGGGAAGGAAGACAGAAAGATTGGTTGTGGTAAAAGGGATTGAAGATGAAGTTAGTGATTAGAGCGGTGGGATAGAGATAAGGGTGTGGTGGAAAAAGAGGAATAGATGAGAACAGTAGGATTAGATTTAGAAAGGTAAATTTTGAAAGAGAGACAAAAATTGGTCTATAGGAAGCATACGAACGGTTTAATTTGAATTTCGCGCAAAGCTACCACGAGAGCTATCTGTCCCTAATTTATCACTGTAAGACTAGAGGGAAAGGCATTTAGTCATCACCACCGAATTTTGGGATACTCTTTTACGAACGAATAGCAGGATTGACCGTAAAATTATAACGCCCTCACGATTGAAAGGGCGAGCATGTTTGGTGGGATGGGGATTCGAATCCTCAGATTGCGACTCGAGCGCCCTAACCACCTGGCCAATATAAACGGGGGAAGTCACTAGGCCTAGGAATTTCTCTGACGGAAACTTCCTGCAGGTACTTCTTCTACCTTTTTTGTCTACTTATTATTTAAAAATACAATATAATTCTCTTATTGTTTAGCTTAGCCGGGTGAATAATTTTAGTTCGCCAAAATAGTGTGAAAAATCGGTCCCTACGTTAACATATAGGTGTTTTCCCCGTGACTTTGACCATAAAAGAACTAATCACTTCTAGGTTGGGTCATAGTCCAAATGTATACCAACTTTCGTCCCAGTCTATTCAGCCGCTTTCGAGAAATCTTGCTAACAAACACACACATATATAGATAAAAACATAACTTCCGTCCAATTTAAGTGGCGGAGATAACCAGACTGGTATTTTTCTTTTAAGAATATCAAAGCAATGGCGATACCCAGTTTATTTGTCATCCTTTTGATGTTGATATTTGTAAAATAACATTTCTACACTAATATAATTGAGTCGTAAGAATATTATCAAAAAAAAAAAAAAAAAA